GCGGTTCTTCTGCTCTCGGATTCGATATCGAGGCAGCTGTTAGGACCGCCAACGATAAGGTGTCCGGGACCTTCAACGTGTAAGGAACAACAATTTATGTCTTCTTTCATCACTAGATCTTTGACTCTGTTTTACTTCATGAGTTTTTTTGGGGATGAAAGATTAGGGGTTTTATGTATGGTGAATAAATTGTTCTTTTACTTTTGGATCGCTCTCCAACTTGTTATTGGCTAAGTTGAGGGCTAAGTAGTGGTGAGAGCCACATAGAAATACCAACGGGGAGGATGTTATTCATGAGACCTGGAGGCGCATAGGCCAGTCATAAATGAATTTTTTATTTGCAGGGAAGTCCTATATCTGCATCTTGCAAATTGGAGATAGAACATTAGTTTTCTTGTTTATTTATGCATGCTAATATACTTGGTTGAGTTCGACAACTAGCTTGATGAGAATTTTATTAAATACTCGTTTCATACTTTTTAATACCCTGACCAATTTATTCTTTCTTTGTATCAACTTGATTGTATCCAATGCACTAGAAGGTTTATTGCTATGGGTGTTTGTGGAGTAGACGCTAATTTTGATCAAATTATTAGATAGCTAAACTTAAGTGCTGTTTCCTATTTTTAAATTTAAAAAGGGTTAATGATATGATAGGTGAACCAACGAAACTTTAATGAATATATTATATGTGTGAGTGATCTAATTTTGCTTCATATACATTATAACAGGCTACTTGGCTAAAGCTCAATAAAATTGTAATATATTTTCTTGAACGTGATTAGGCTGGTGTTATGCTCAAATTCAACTCAAGCTTGATAAGAAAATAAATGAGCTTGAATAGGCAATGGTCGACTCAGCAAAGCTCCTTCACAATCCTTAAGTATTCTCAGCATAAATCGTTGCTATTATAGTGCGTGTCTATAATTAGCTTTTGTTACCATTTAGAAGTGGTTCCCATCCATTTGCTCTAAGGTGCAATTGTTGTTGGGACACTCATGGCTTTTGACACCAATTTAGGATTGCTTAACATGTTGGGTATTCAAGAGTGGGGTTAGTTAAGTTTTAGGATGAGAAAGGAGGGTAAAAAGATGATTGTGGCTTAGAAATCAGGTTTCTCAATAGCTAAACGGGAAAAATGCAAATCTGATGCAAACGTGGCAGCGTGGGAGGTCTTTGAACATCTACAAGAGATCATCACATTCATCCAATCTGGCTAGAGGTACACCACCATAGAAAGATTTAAGAATACAACACTACAACAAATGCAAATAGGATCCTCCAAGTGGTCTGACAAGCCCATGGGGGTTGGAATAGCTTGAACTGATTCCTCCTGGACTGTTCACACGTCTCGGGTTAGCTTGGGACTGGAATCAAGAGTGGGAGGTTGATATGTCTCTATCATTCTCCTTGGGTACTATAGAGTTTGCCTTCTTCATTGGAACCTTATGGATCATTAAAGTATGACGACAAAACAACGATGTTGAAAGTAGTAGAATTGCTATAATCTTCGAGCAATTGAATGCTTTATCATTGATTTTTTAATAATCTTGAATGGACTATCAATTATTGGTTAGAGCTTTCTAAACAACTAACTAAGAAACAACTCTTTATTTAGCCTAATCCACACTATGTCGCATTCCTTGAAAACTATGACTTTTCTAGACTTGTTAGTCTACTTTTGATACTTAGTACTATGTTTGATGATTTTATTCTTCACCTACTCATGTAGGGTACGAATATCTTTAATTCTAGCTTTTGCATTAATATTAAGCTTAGTAGTTGTAAATACCTCTACTAACTTCAATACTGTGAGGATTTCGCCTGTACATAATTTCAAATGAATCATGGCCTGTTAATTGACCAACGGACAATGGTGAAAACAAACTTGACCTGAGGAAGTATCAAGTCCCATTGCCTTTTGGCATTGCCTATAAAGCTCTTAATGAGTTTTCTCAAACTTCAATTTATCACTTATAGCTGACCATCGGTCTTGAAGAGCGTTGCTGAACTAATTTTAACTTTGTAGCAAGCTTTTCCCATAAGGTTCTCCAAAAATAATTCAAAAGCTCACATCTATGTCAGAAGTGATGCTCTGGGGTATGCTGTAAAGATGAATTATTTTTGTGAAATGTCTATCATCTGTTTTTGAAAAATGATCTAAAATTACTATGATTGAATCCTTACTCTATTGTGTCCATGGGAGGTCCACAGCGAAGTCCATGCTTATATCGATCCACAATGACTTTGGTATGGGAAGATGAGGATCTAGAACCGTATTTTGCCTTTGGGTCATGGCTAAGTGACAAATTTTGCACCCTCAAGTATTTCTCTCAACATCTCATACCAATCTAGGACAGTAGAAGTTCTCTTTTATCGAGGAAAGAGTCTCGTCCCTACCAAAGTGTTCAACCAACCTTTCATTGTGGCACTTGCAAAATACTCCTTGAGTGAACTCATAGGAAAATATTGTCTGTTTAGTAGAACAAGCGGTCTTCTACTTTGTGGAACTACTCATAAGGTGTATTCTTAGAACAAACTTAAATCTTTTAAAAATCCTCGTTAGTGACATACGAATCTTTCAACACTTTAAAAAGCCAACGACCTTTGATTGCATAGTGGTAATCAACAAGTGAGGATGACACAACTACTTTATTGTGGCTCTTGTTTGCACAAAATAAAAAGTGGAAAGGAACTCAACCCAAGAGGCATGCTTATCCTTCAACTTACTCTGATTGTTCAAGAATCTTAACGTCTCATGATCAATATAGATATTGAAATTACTCGCCAAAAAATAGTGTCTCCAGTGATTGAGAGCTTTCACAATGGTATAAAACTCTGTCGCAGACAAAGTACTTTCTCATTGAATCATTTAGCTTCTCGCTGAAGAAAACAATAGGGTGTTCCCCTTGACTCAACACAACTCTAATCCTCACATTGGAGGTGCCACACTCTACTTGATTAAAATCTGGAAGAGCTAGGAGTTGGGTAAACTGCTTATTCAAAGCACTAAAGGTAGCCTAGGTTTCATATAACCATGAAAACTTGTTTGTCTTGAAGAGCTCTATCAATGGTGCTACAATAGAATTAAAGTTCTTGATGAGCCTCCCATAGAAAGAAGTTAGTCTATGAAATTGATGTACTTGAGAAAATGATTGTGAGTTGGCCCAGTTCAGAATAGCCTTGATCTTAATTGTGTCCATTTTTTTGCTAGCAATTAAAACAATTTACCCAATAATGTGCGTCTATGGTGTCTGAAAGTGACAATTCTTCGGGCAACCATACAACTGCTCTGCATGCAAAACTCCAAGAACCTGCTACTGCGAATTCTGCTCTTTGAAAGGCTTTACACATGGATGTTGTTGAAGTACATAAGCACAATATTTTTGATAGAGGCTCGAAAAATCAGGCTTGTCAATTCAATGAATGTGCTCAGTGCATTGGACATATTTAAGGGAAAGAATGTCCACTCATACCATACATCCCGTGTCTTCAAGGCGATCTTTCACTCATCTCCGAGTCTCATTCGGATTTGGTGATAACCATTGCTCAAATCAATATTGGAGAAAACTTGGTTACTCTGGTGCCTAGCTTAAAGAACATTTTGACTTTTGTATGTCTAAGGGCAATTTAGCCTTTATTATCATTATTATTGGGTATAAATAGGTTTATTATGTTAGGCTTAGATTTATGCATGAGATTGCTGTTGTGAGTTTTAGTTTTAGGGTTTGAGAGAGATTTCATGCTTTTCGAACTGTAGGAATTGGGAGAGATCGCCTACCTTTCAAATTTTAGGTATTTATCTTTATATTTAGATTGAGTTGTTTGGATTATTAAAGAAAAATGTTTGTTTTGCCCTAATTTATATAGAAATTCTTGTCGATTTTTACGTTGGATCATATCAAATTGGTATCCGATTATTTGATTTTTGTAGAACGATAGAATCTCTGCGCACTTGTGAAGCCGATTGCTATGCAGTTGCAATAATTTCCCTTTGTGATCAACAACCGTGATTCCAGTCAGCGGGGAAGCCGATGACGGGCTCGGGTGTGCCATCAGACCTATTGGTGTGATGGAGCTTGCTGGAAAGTGATGAATGTATTGCTGCGTGCCTCCTTAAGGAGCGACTCGAGCTAGGAAGGCAGTCATACAGAGACTTTTCGCCCTCTATTCTGAAGATCACAGCGTACAGAGCTGGAACTTTCTCCTATTCCTGCTTTGTAACTCCAATCTTTCTCATGTTCCTGCTCTGCCCTCGTGAAGCAGTCACGAGTGCTAGTTGGGAAGATGGGACTATAGCTATATGATCGATCATCGTGCGGCCGAATCTCGCCAGACAGTCGTGATTGGAGTTGCCTTGAAAGTGACGACATGATTGATGTGATATGAGATCACGGACTTGCGGAACAGTCACACGATTTGACTTATCTGAAAGCAAATAGCTGGATTTTAAGGTATAAAATTTTTCTTTGGAGGATCAAAAAATTTCTTTGTTGTGATGGCGACCAAGAAAGCTGAAGATTTGAAGAGAAGAGTCAAAGCAGATCCAGGATGGAGGAAATGTTCTCCACCATAGAATGGAGGTTTTCCTTCATGGAAAACCAATTTGAATGATGATTTGAGAGTTTGGATGAGATACTGTGGAAATTATTGAGATGCAATCCGTGAATTAGCCGGTAATTCAATTTGGAAATCCTAATCAAGGGGTGACCAGAGAAGCCTTGACTAAATCGAAAGGGAGTGAAAGAGGTCGAACGAGAGGAACATGAGACGAAGCATCTCACTTCAAGAACCCCCTCTATGGGTTACAATTAGGGGTGAATTCGATATTTCCGATGTAGCGGTTGAGCTGAAATATGGAGAATATGTTGTGCAACAGGTATGGAGGAGCATGGAGAAGAAAGGAGAGAAGCAAGGATGTGATATGACTATGATCGCAGGAGCAAGTTTTACCCTAGATACATAGGGGGAAACAATGGAGGGAGAGAAATTTGGCGTGGAGATGCTATGGTTAGAATATTAAAAATGTCGATCATCAAGAGGGAAGACACACATGGGTGGGTGTACCGGGTGGAGCGATATTTCATGATGAATGAGTTAAATGGGGGAGGAAAAACTCATGGCGGCAGGGTTATGTTTTGGGAGAAAACCTTAGCATGATTTCAATGAAGGGAGGTTAGATATCCAATTTGTTAGTGGGAAGAATTTAATGATTGTTTGTTGGAACATTTTCGAGCCATTTAGGAAGGAGACCTAAATGACCAATCCTATGCCTTGAATCGTTCGGGGACAGCCATGGAATTTCGAGCTACTGTTGGGTCGACTTAGGGGGATTTCTGTAGTGGGACCGAAGGGGAATTTCATGAAGGGCCTAAACCCAACAATCTCCGACTATTGAGACTGTAGGAATTGAGGGGGACGATGAAGCTTGCCTAGATGGAGGACATGAACCTGATGGATAAGACCATCAAGAGCAACACAGATGGAGCAACATACTAAACTGCAACAACCATGGTGTTACCGAAAGTTTAAACAGTGGAAGTCCAGAGGGCGACTGCACGAGACATGAATAATGGGCCACGATCGTGAGTGTCACTTAAGCGCTTTAGAGAGACAAATATTTAAAAGAAGCAAGCTAAACGGTTATGTTTTCGGTGTGATGTGAAGTTTACCCTAGGACACCATTACAATGATAAAAAAATGCAAGTTCTCATAGTGCATGATGAGAAGGCAAAGGATGGAGAAATAGAGACAGTTGTGGTGGAGGAGGAACACTCACTTTTTTTTCCACCTTGAGGACAATTTGTCTTTTTTTTTGGGAAGGGGGAGTATTGCTACACAAGTGTCTCCTAACCTAAGGGCAATTTAGTCTTTTATTATTATTAGTGTTGGGTATAAATATACTTATTACGTTAGGGTTAGGTTTATGCCTGAAATTGTTGTTGTAAGTCTTAGGTTTAGGGTTTGGGAGAGATTTGCTACCTCTCTAATTGTATGAATTGGGGAGATCGCTACCTCTCGAATTGCTGGTGTTTATCTTTGTGTTCAAATTGAGTTGTTTGGATTGTTAAAGAAAAATATTTGCTTTGTCGTAATTTGTATGAAAATTCGTGCTGATTTCAATGTTGAATTGTATCAAACACTTGCTCCATTTATCATTTGGGATGTCAAAATCAAATTCACGGCAACAAAAAAAATTATTATTTGCTTAAATTTACATAGAGAAACTTTTGTTATATTAGTATTGTTGGAAGATGAGAAAAGCTAACTGGTTTGAGAGTTCATTATAAGTTGCATGCACAGGTCATGCTGTTGTGAATTATTGGAGTGCTTATGTTATTGTATTGAATTGCTTGTAATTATTTTAGAAGTTCATGTTTGACAGTCCTAGTTTCCTTTCGTTGTAATCGTAATGTTAAACATGGTAAAAGAAGATGCAAAACTCATCAATTTTTTTATTTGTTCTAAAAGTATGATACACTCTCTTTTTCAACATATAATAGCTTTCACGTCCAGTTTTTTGTCTAACTGCTCAATATAGGGCTTATAATTGTGGTCAGCCTTGATTCATGGAAATAATAGAGCTGCATGTCTACAGCAAGTTGCACTACTATTGATAATCCTTCTTTAATCAGAATATATCAGGAAAATGATATTTCGAGATTCTAGAATGACATTTAGAAAATGGTTGGATGCTACTAGCTTGTAAATCCACAAATTTGGCTTGGCGTATCAGCTAATTTGCTTCTAATGTTTTAATTAGGGCCAATTAATCCACACATTTGCTTGGTGTATCAGATAAGGAAATTGCTTTGATACCCTTAAAAAATTAGTAAAGACTTTATTGATTTATTTTTCCACTAATTCTAGAGTACATGCTAGGTTTAAACGGAACAAAGGATGAGGTGATTCAAATAAACTTTTAATTATACACAAAAAGTAAAAAACAAATGTGTTGAATGAATAATTTGGATGAAGCTACACAAACAAGAAATGAACAATTCCTTGTATCAGTGAACTTGTTGGAGCAAAAAATGGAGGTTTAGAATCCATGAATTCTAATAATATTGATAATGAAACTTTAGAGTGGGGCGTAGTCCTAACAGTTGGTTTAACATCAATAACCGAGTGTGGTTATATCTTGACAAATAGATGTATCAAAAACCATTTTGTCATCAAAATATATGAAACAAGCCCTAGACAAAAGAATTCCAGAAGCCCTCTATTCATTGTTATGTATTTCTCACTAGTTGGAAGTTCACAGAAAATATAATAAGATGATTGGTCTAACAAGATTGTCATTGAACTTAAGCTTGTGCATCTTTTTTTTGTTTGCATTCAAGTTTTTGTCATTGATCTCCGGCTTGTGCAGTTTCTGTTTTTATGAGGCTCATTTTGGCGAGTTGTTGGGGTGCCTTGCACACCACCATGTTCATACCTCTTTTAGTCTGATGGCTTGGTCCACTTCTTGTTAACATATTTGTTAGGTTAGAAGCAGTGCCAAAATTTATGGCTAAGATTCATGCAAATGACGCAAACTCTGTAAAGAACATGGAACTTTAAAGAGATCTACTAGGACCTAATCTTTCCAATGATGAAGGCCATTATTAGAAGTTATAATTGGAGAGATCACCACTATTAACTCAAAAGCATAAAGTCTCATTTCAAAAAAAAAAAAAAAAATTCACAAGGGCGCAATTGGATGATGAGCATTTTTGAAGATCATAATTGGAGGATTCATCAACAACATCTATTAATACAATGGGAATACCCTCCAAATTCAAAAGATGTGTCATGATTTAGAATTGTGCAATTGAGTACTGAGACGTTTTTTATCTATGGCGCGGAGGTGTAAGCCTCAAATTTAAAAATTACGTAAATTAATAAATATTGTATAAACTATAAAATTTGAAGTAAAAAATAACATATTAATACTCTTCTATATTAAAACTTAAAAAAAATAATATATCAACATTTTAACAAAGTAAAAAGTATTAAACTATGTAATATAAGAAGTTAAACGGTATTATCCTGATATCAAATCTTGAAATAAAATGAGTTATACAAATATTAAACTATCAAATTATACTAATAAATCAAAATAAAATACTAAACCATCAAAACGGACTAATCAAAATAAGTTCAACATAAGTTTTTTTCTCTTACTCTGACTGTCCCTCACATAAGTAAGAATATAACAAGTCACTGACATTTAAATATTTTAATTCTAAAAGTTTATATTACTCTTATCATCCAATAAATTTTCACTAAACTCATCGGCATAATTAGTTGCTTATCACACCTTGTCCTCTATCATATCCATGTTCTACCATTCCTCCTTATATTATTCTCATTTATCTTTCCGTTTTTGATAAATTATTATCAATAAAAATATTAATTAAAATAATAACTATGTCCATAATTAGAATTTCAACTACATAAAATTTTATGAAAAAATATTCCATTTATTACTTGCTATTTAGTGCGTGAGGTGTGAGTGTTGATGAGTGAGGTATATTGATATTATTTTTAGTTTTATTTTAAAAAAATGTAGAATGTCTTAAAAAATTGATGCTGTTTTTAAGGTGAGGCATGCCTCAACCTGGATGATTCGTATACCTTATCCTGGGACAATAAAATGTAAGTTTCATTGTTATTTTTTATAAAAAAGTGTTGAGGTGGGCCTCAAGGGACGCATCTTATTGTCTAATTTTATATAAATCATGTATGCTTAAGGGTTCCTCGCCTCAATTATCGGTATGATTTTTTAGTACCATAATCATAGAGGTTACCAATATAGTGTATGCTGCTATTTATCTTAACCTGAATCAAAAGACACTTGTCAGAAAAAAATCTTCCTCACTTTGATGATAGTTTTGGTTATTAAAATTTATAACCAGAGCAGTGACCACTAGCCCGCTACTATTGGTGTCACCATCTTCTTTCAAAAGATAACTCTGGTAAACACTCATGAATCATAGTCATTGCATTTTTTTTCTCTAACATCTGTCCTCTTTATAGACTCACAAGAATATTGTTGAAATGGTAAACCCGTCTCGCAGCCCTTAAATGTTATTTTTATCTTGTAAGCCTTTTATCGACCCATCTCTCAACCCTTAAATGTTATTTTTATCCTCTAAGCTTTTTATCGACATAGTAGATTTTAGTGGGTTTGACTCTTACATTCATAATGCTTAAGCTCACCTTACTTTTTACTCAAAATGATGAACCAAAAATCACTGAGAAATTTATAGAACTTCCACACATCTTTTTTTGGTGTTATTACCCATTAATATAGCATTCTCAACACCGCTTCTTTTAATGTACTGTTTGGAACCCTGTATTACTTATAATCAAACTTATGATCAAAGTAACACATTGCAAATTTCTGTATTTCAGTTTTCCCATTCATGTTATTCTCGTGCCGGGAAAAGCCTAGCAAGTTAGTAGTAGCTGTTTTTTTACACAACACAAAGCTCAATCTATACACTTGCATCAACTGTAAAACCTTTACTCTATTCTCCAGATTATATAGAAGTCATTTGTAACTGATCTAGTTGTTGGTTAAGGCATTGCTTTTAGGTATTTCAATATCTTTTGAATAAACTAACAAGAATCGGTTCCATTTGGTTTTTGTGTTGTCTGCCTCAATACTGGCCATTTGGTTTGTGTGTCTGCTTCAATCCCTTTTTTTTTGGACAGTTATTGGTATTTATAGTTTTGTCTGGTTTACTCATCATCATCATTACTAGCCTTATGCCAACTATTTGATGGTTTTGGTTACTCATCAGGGTCTCAAAAAGTGTAAGAGAAATACCTGGAAGCTTCCAGACTGCTACAAGCAGTGTTCCTTCTGGGAAGGCTCTCATGTACTTTGGATTGCTACTTGCTAGTGGAGTGTTTTTTATCTTCCTTGCATTCACCATGTTCCTTCCAGTTATGGTTATAATGCCTCAGAAATTTGCAATCTGTTTTACTCTTGGCTGTGCCTTCATTATTGGATCTTTTTTCGCTCTTAAAGGTCCAAAGAATCAACTGATTCACATGTTTTCAAAAGAGGTATGCTTATTATGGATGAAGTTTATATAGTCTGGACTCTGTACTATCCATCGCAAAACCTAGCTTTCTAAAGCACTTGTGTTCTGAAGAATTTTGGCTTCTGGATCTCTTAAACAGAATATATGAAGCGTCAGTTTAGTTTATTTTGGTTGGTTTGTAAAGCGCCACTCTTTAATCAAGATGCCAAATGGAGACAGCATAATCATAAAAATTAGGATATGATATGCCATGGATACAATGTTTTTTATTAACTACTAATATGAAATATATAATCATCATACCTGGTGCTAATATTTTCTATCAAAGTGCATCATGCAATGAAGTATACTTTCATTTTTATTGTATAAAATGGTCAAGGATTAACAGATTAAAAACTAATATTTACAATTACATTTCAATACTGTCATATGTGTGTAATTGTCTGAAAAACTTCAATATTAGCATTAATCATTATATGTGATTTTGTCAATATCAAAATTGCATTTTCTATATGAAATTCCCATAAAACCTAATAGGCCATATATAATTTTCAAAATAGCCACACAAAGTATGAACACATAATGCTTCATTAATTGGATTCAACGCACATGGCACCATGATCATTTAATCCCACTAAGACCAATATCTTTGTTTAATAACACTTTCACCACAATGAGAAAAACCAATGTTTGAAAGCTAGCTCATTGATTAAAAGCATGGTTCTCTGTTATTGAACGCCACAACCATGTTGAGGCATGTCTTAATCATGTTGGATTCTCATTTTTGAAAATGTATTATATATGATTTTTATTTTGTCATGTTCGACTCTCATTTTTTAAATTATATTAGATATGATTTTTAATGTGTTAGATGTGGAGTTAGGGATATGAATGAGTTGAGTCGAGCTTGAGTCACAACAAACTCAAGCTCAACTCGACTGTTAAAAGAGTGGCTCAAACTCGAGAGCTCAACTTGTCGTTACGGGAGCTTGTGAAGTGTTGTTGGAGGAAGTCGACATGGAGCTCGCTATAGAACATGCCGACGAGAACAAGGTCTAACCCTGGAGAAGGGAGACAATTGTGGAGAAGACGTGTTTTGGGAGACATGCAACAGAAGAAAGGAAGTCGCAGTAACTCGTTGGAGAAGACGTCAGTTTTCATGAAACATGCAACAGAAAGAATAGATGTAGATAAATTAAATGAGATGTAAAAAAATAATACACTTCTTGCATTCAATGCATCCCATTTCATTATTTTTTTAATAGTAGGCCTTTCTCTTATTAAAAACCACTGCTACAAATTTATTAAGCGAAGCTCTCTTTAAAACTTTATTCTTCAGATTATATATATATATATAATCTTGTGAGTGTAACTTGGCATGATTCCTTCATGTAGAGTTCAAGTGCAACTGCCTATTTTTCAGTGAAGTCATCCTCTTATATTTACATGAGGCTCACCTTTTCTTGTTTCAGTATTTTTCGTTTCTTGCTCTATTTCTTATTCATAATTTGATATAAACTCGTCTTTTGCTCTTCATTTAAAAAAAATTAACTCATTAAAATTTTAATCTGTTAAAAGTAAATTATACTTGTTGGTTGATTTTATGTGATTCTAAATTCTTGCTTGATTTCTAAGATTTTTTTTTCCTATCATTTTGTTATCATTTGTGCTGTTGATTCTAGCATTGTTTTTTATCTGCCTGAAGGAAGTGGTTGCTATTTGGTGGCTTCTGATATGCGAATCCTTTGTATCTTTAAAATAATCGTTCTATGGAAGAAGATATCCAATAAATGCAAACTAAATCTGGCCAGAAATTAAAAATTTTTAGCTTGTTTTCTCTGTTGAAGTGCGAGATTTTCATGGAGTTATCGCGTTCTGTCAAAATTTTACAGCATATAAAAAGTGGATGCTCATGATTTTCTATAACCATCTAGCTTCCAATATTAGTTAACCATATATTATCGGAGTGGATTCTCAGTATGTTTCAACCTCACTTTTATCGGATGCTTAAAAGACCTGTTCTCACATCTTCTTTTTGTCTCTCCAGCAGTACCTACAAGTATAATTATAGGATGTATCGAAATCAATTTACATGAATACTCACCCTTTTCAGCACTAGCCCTGGCAAATTCGTACGGCATATGCAATGATCAGGGAATTATGTATGTATGTATGTATGTATATTTATACGCGCGGTGTGATGTGTATGTGTTTGTGTGTCTCTGATGTTGTTCGTTAGTTGAATCAAAGTAATATAGAGAGCCATTCTTGAATCTAACCAAATTAAATTAGATTTTGATTTAATCAAAATTTGAGTGATCATTTAAATAATTTTGAGTTTCAGACTTAATTATATCCTTAATTCATTATATGAAATTAATTAATTTTCTTGTTATATTTCAATTAAGTTGATTAAATTAGAATCATTCTCTGTGCCTGATCATGCTTGTTTTTGTATGAGCGCATAGTTTCTAATTCCCATCTTCTACTTGCAGTTTCTTCCCTTGACATTGCACTAACATTTTCTGCCGTTACAAGTTTTTTTATATTATAATCCTTTGGAAAGTCATACTAGTGAGTACAGCTTTTGTGTTTACTCCTTTTTTTGCAGAGGCTTCCTTTCACATTGGGTTTTATAGCCAGCATGGTGGGAACAATTTATGTGTCCATGGTGCAGCACAACTACCTGCTTTCTGTTTTCTTTTCTGTGATTCAGGTATTTTGCTTGGCATCTTAATCAAGTCCTGTAGATTCTTCTATGCAAAAATTCTTCTTCTACGCTTCACCACCACTTTTTGAGAATTTGCAAATTAAAAAATGTCTTGTTCTGTTCTGGGTTTTCTGAATACTCGAAATCAAAATTTATGTTGGATCTCAAATCATAGATCTGAAGTAAATCACTTCTCTTATAACCACTTTTCAAAGATGATCACGTAAACTTTCGTTGTGGTTGGACCTCTGTAAAATTTCATCAACATTGCGGATAATATTTTCATTTATTTCTGTTTTCCAAGCGGGATCTCAGCTAATTACATGCTTGTTCAACATAGGTTCTGGCACTCGCGTATTATGCCATATCCTACTTCCCTGGAGGTTCTGCTGGCATGAAATTTCTGTCTGCGGCTCTCATGTCATCCATTCTGAAGTGCTTTGGGAGATGATGCAGAAGCGTTTAATATGAAAATTCTTGCAAAATAATACGTTAATTCTCTGATCCGAAGTTCTTCCTAAGTTCTTCAGCCTTAGTACCTCTCTTCCCATTTTGTAAAAATTTTTTGGAGCTAGTAATTTCTTCCAGATTACCTTAGATTTTCCTGCATTAAGAAAAAATGACCGCAGGTGTTCCTTGGAACTTCCCATAGATGATGACAACGTTGAGTGCTTTAATTGTCTTTTTTCTTACAACTTGAAGAATAGTTTGTGTTTTGCTTTTCATGAAATATCGGAATGGGAAGTGGCGAATACTTTTAACTAATTAGTAAATACTATTAACTAATTAGCAATGGATTGTTTTCAGCCATTTTTCTTCATAGTGGGGTGCATAAGTTTGCCATGTCTGATATTGTTTTATGGTTGTATTTTTTTTTTACAGTTTTATTTTATTTTATTTTATTTTATTATATGCTTTACAGAAAATATAAATGCATTTGTTATGTAATGTGAAAATACTTAATAACTTTTTTTGTTCAGAGTTTTATCCTTTTATACTAATGAAGGTATCTTTCTAGATTTATCTTGCAAGTTTTCAGTAACCCTAATTGTGGAATTACGTTCATTATTATTTACGTTATTCTATTTAGTATTTGCTATATTTTGTCATGGTATAAAAAGCGTAATTTCTTAATTATAGGTATTTATGTTTATTCCATAATTATAGGAATTACTTAATTGTAGGAAGATTTCTTTCCTCTTTTTATCTCTTGTACTCGTCTATTTATAGGCGAATTATCTATGTATTCAGGGAGTAAAAAGGTTATTCAAAATTTCATATGGTATCAAAGCCATCAAAGAGAAGCCTCTCTCGCTCGGCTAGATCACGACCCTTCTCTCCCGCGATCCCTTGACCGAGCGCTGCCCTAGTTTGCGTCTTCCCCGATCGTCCGCATCCGAGCTCCGCTCCTCGTCGCGACTCGCTCTCTGATCGTCTGCCGGCTTCCGGGATTCTCTCCCGCGCCTTCCGCGTCTTCCGCGATCGTCTTCCGCGACCAGTTCCGCATCTTCCGCGCCTTCCACATCTTCTGTGCCCGCGATCGTCTTCCGCGCCTTCCGCACCTTCCGC